GGAACCAGAGCCCAGAAGTAAGGATAGTCTATGAGAAACTTGGGGACAAAGCATGGGAGTTCCAACCATAGCATAATATTTCAAATGAACTGTCCCACAGCTCTGTTGCACTTGGAAACAAAATGTGAGTTCCCATCTAGGTCAGCACCTGCACAAGCAGGCCCAATATCAATCCGCAGATCACCATCAACCTCTTTGTGGATTCCTGTGACGCTGGTCAATTTGCTTACATAGCTGCAGGCTATGATTTCACATCACATCAGTAGCTGAAAGACAATCTTGCATCAGTCCTGTGCTGGAATGTCCGCATGGTTCCTCTTTTCAAAGTGGAAAATAATACTTTTTAATCATATGAAGAGATTTTGCAAGGTATTTTTAGTGCAAGGATGATCACAAGAATCTGAACAGAGGAGAAAAAATGAGAAGGAATGGTTGGGTGGAAGGAAACTTGTGTGGCCTGGATTAGAAAGGATATGACTGGAAGGCTGGCTTGGGTTTGCCCAGACCTGTAAGACAGCAATGGAAGTAGACCTCCTCTCAAAGGTTTCTGGGAGAGCATTGTAGGGAATGCAAGAAAAAGCAGCTCATGTGAGCAGTATGGGCCAGCCACAGTAGTTTCAAGAGAAACACTGAAGCCTGCTATTAGATTTACGCTGGATTGTGGCATCTGTGGACATCTCGAGCTTTTAAAAACCTGATGGCATTACAATGCCAACATCTCCTCTCAAGGCAGCAGTCCTCATGTTTTCCCAACAATTTGCAAAGAAGTTCACATTTCTCAACTCAGTAACTAAGATGTTGCCTCAGCATTTTTCTATCAACATTCTTCAAAGCTCTTTAGATTTCCTGTGCCAGTGCAGCCACCCATCATCCTCCAACAAATCTCAGACCTTACTGATTATCACCAATAAAATTATTGATGTTAGAAATGCTGACTTGAGAAGATAAGGCTATTTAAGAGCGTTTTACTAGATGTCAGTGGAGTGATACTGCCTCATTTCATGCAGCACATCGCAAAACCTCTTCCTTCCATGCTGTGTTAAATTCTTTCTTACTCTCTCCCTGAGATGAAGACTTGTTTCTTCAAAAAGTTGGTCAGAGAAGAACGTGTGGGAAGAGCGTGGGAACAGCAGACAACCTCAAGGCTTCCCATTTTCCTACTCTGTTTCTTGTGAGCAATACTGCATGTTTTAGTCACTACCACTCTGAAATGCTCTTTCAGCAGGCACATCCTGCAATGCCCGCGGTTTGGTGACAACATTCCAAAATACTGAGAGCATTGTCAAAAACAGACTTGGGTTCCTTTTGATCTGAAAGAGCCAATTTATTTTTCCCCTTCAGATAGGCAAAGGATAATTACAGAAAGCGTCATGCCATCCATATGGGTATCACATGCAAAAGCCATCTATCATACCAGGATGTGCTGCTTAGGCATCTCATTTCTTTACACGCACAGAAAGCCACAGAAAACATCCCTGATCAGGAAGAACTCTACTCATGACTGTAACAGTTTTTATCACAATTTTGATCACGTCTCCATTTTGTTTTGCTTTTTTTTTTCCAAGAAAAATAAATGTGTTTTCTTATCAAATCTGTATTTCGAGCACCAAACTTACCAAACGTGTTCAAGAAATGTTTAGATGTGATACTAAGGGACATGGCTTAGTGGGGAAATAATGGTGGTAGGCAGATGGTTGGACTAGGTGATCTTGGAAGTCATTTCCAACCGTGGTGATTCTATGATTCTACTCTATGAAACTGCAAGATTTCACTCAAAAACAATTAACTTATAGCTACCTCCACTTGTTTCAGTCAAGTTTAAATATCCCTTTTCTTTCCACCATTTTATGAAAAATGATAAACACCAGCAATATAGCACACTCTTGGCTGACACCACTTACTTGTCAGGTGTTGTCACCAGATTTATGCACCAGCAGCTCACAAAATCAAAGAGATCGAAACCCACAAAAGAAACATCTCAGTTCAGGCTAGCAATTTTGCATGGTTTTCTGCTATGTGACCCTTGGACACTCTTCATCTTAACCTCCACCAGCAATAAAAGCAAGAACATACAGCATGCAAAAGTCCGATGAGAAAGCGGAGACATCAGTCAGTAGTGAGGATTACAGCAGGCTGCATCAGGTTGCTCATGAAGAGTAAGGTGAAAGAATTTCAATGAAATTATGTTGGAATCTAAGTGGAGAGTGCCCTACTTCAGACCGTCGGCAGTATTTCAGGATTCCCTAGCACCAAGCCAGTCCTCACAACTTCACATATGGGTGCTGCTATGGCCACATGTAGAGCCCTGCAGTTTTAGTGTGGTGGAGAGGAGATGGCAGCCACTTCCTCGCCTTTGTGGCTGTCAGTGACTAACATGCACATCTGCTTCCTCTGCAGAATGTCACCCCTCCTGGGCAGCTGGGCTGTGTATTTTACCAGGAAAACCAGGTGTCCAGAAATACAATTAAGGAGACTTCAATTGACCAAATCCTTCACCCTCCCAGAATAGAAAACTGAATACAAATCTCTTTCAAGCTTTCCTCTAGAAAATACTCAGGACACCATCTTAATGCATAGGTGCTGAATGCCATCTCTGTGTTTATTTGCCTTTATGCAGCCACACTGAAGGTGCAGCATGAGCACCAGAGTGGTCTAAATCCCTTGCATGGCTCTGTTTAACCTCATGGCACATTCTGGAAACAGAAGTTCACTGTACACCGTGGTATTGCTGGGAATTGGGCTCATTTATGAGTTCTTGCCAAGTATATTTCTTTTGAAATATACTTTTATTCCATGTATGTATACATGTGTGTGTATATAGCACATGAATATTTAGTCTTCTGACGTAAAATGTTATCTTTCTGTTCTTGGGCCAGCAGTGTACTCCTGCCTCCTCCATTTGCTGTAATTTTCATTGTTCACAGAAGGCTTCAGAATCCAGCCAACACACATCATAGAATTAGTGAGAACTATTAGTCAGAAATTTGTGCACTAATTAAGCTCTTAATTTTACACAGGATATCATGTCTTGAAATGCTTTCATACCATCACACAAGCTGTCTGGGAGCAGTAAGTACCATCTGAGATTTCTTCCGTAACTCAGACTGTCTACTATTCAGCTTCACCCACCCCCATTCAAGCTCGTCTCTTTTCCTTCATATCCTTTTACTGCTTCTTCCTTTGAAACTGACTTCGAGGGATAGCTCGAGTCCTGATTTCTCTGGCCCCCAGCAACGCCTAGTGCACACTAAAGTCCTTGTACCACACTACAAAGCTAGGTTTCTTTATAACAGGATGTCTGTGATTCTTTTTACACTGGTAGAGTTAGTTAAGCAACCTTTTTCTAAGCTCAGGCTTTACAGCTGGGACATGTGGTAGTACCACAGCTATCTAACCCTTCTATGAGAGAGCATAGCCGAGGAACCAGCTGCTGGCACTGGCCCCACATGGCAGCATGTGCAGCTGACCAACATGAAACGTTCCTCAGCATCCACACGTCCAGCTGGCTGGCAACCTTTGTCATCCCAGAACCTTCTGGGAAACCAGAAAGACTCCTGATTAGAAAAATACGAGCTTCAACAATCCACAGCATTGTCCATTCAATGACATTTGTACACAGATGGACTTTTACGCACATGAAAGGCCACAAGACGTAACTATATGACTTACAAGACCAAGCCTTTGCAGGATCACAGCCCCAGGGATTACTGAGTCCAACAGCACGAGTGAGTGACATAAAGATTCTCACAGCATACACATGGGGTTCCTGATTATTAGAACAAAGTATGAATTATATGATACCAGTTCAGATGACACAGATTCCAAATAAGTGCAAATGAAATATTTCCCTTTGTCAGACCACCATCACATGAGTTACATGTGGCATCCCTTACAACAGAGGCAATTGAGAAGTATATTGGCTAGCTGCTGTTTGCTCGGAATTCCCCCAGCAAAACGGGCCTGGTTAGCATTGCAGGGCGGTTGACTTTCGCTATTAAGGCTAGTAAGTCTTGCTGAAGTCAATGCAACTCAAGAATGTACTGAAAAATAAGTAAATGTCTGTAGACTGCAATAAACTAAGCATTTTTGACTGCTTTGTTTACCAAGGAAGTATCTCTAAGGGACAGGAATTAGAGAAACTTTCTGAAAGCTGTAAGAAAACTTACAAGCAAGATAAGTATAAATTGAATGCAAATGCAAGGCAGTTGTATTTACATTAAAATGATTAAGCTTAAGATGCAGCTTTCTAGGCCTTTCCAGAGATGATGCACTCTCTTTGACCCTCTCATAAGCACCTAACCTGGCTAAATTAAAAGAAAACAAAAATCAAATCTTCTACCACTTGCCAATGCAAGATGCACTATTGCCCCAGGCCCTAGAGATCACTGTAGTTGTGCATTCCCAGTCTTATTTAAGCTAATGAGGAGGAATAGGAAGAGAATTTTTGAGGTGGGATCTTCTTCCTTTCATCTGAAAACCAATTACTGAGTTGTTCAAAGCTTTAATGCATAGCTCTGTGTGCTCAGTGCCTCTCAGCGTGTGACTTTCTAGAGACTACTGCTGCACCACTGAAAGGAAAGGTGAGTTCTTCCTATACGATCCTGGGAAGCAAGCTAAAATCTCAATTAGCAGAGAGACCCCTGAAAAAGGGGTATGGTTTTTCATTAAGAAGAGCTTGTAAGTGCTTCTCAATAATTCATTCTATTCTTGTTTCTTTGCCAATAATGAAACTCCTTAAAAAGGGTCAGACAGCATGGACATTTTTGGCTTGCAAGTCTAATAGTTTGGTTGTCTATTCTTCTCTGTAGCCACATGCCTGCATGTGTTCAATGACTTAATAGCACTGCTACTTTGGGGCAGCTAAACAGAGAAGCAGACTGCAGCTGCTTCTGAAGGATATAAATATTTTTATAGTTGGGGGGCTCAGCAAGTCCAACATGATCAAAGACACCTGGGTTCTATTCCTGGCTCTTTTATAGACCTTCTGTATTGTTTTGCTCTTTTCGGTAGCTCTACTGACGACCTTTTCCTGCCATATCAATAACCTTAGTGGGAGATTTTGATTTGAAAATTGGAACACAAGTAATTTGGGGTGATGGGGCTGAAATGTGAATGCAGGCCTGGGCACTCACCTGATAACAAAATCCAACTAAAGCCACTGCACTGGTCAACACCATGAATGGCTCAGAGGCCAGCTTTGCTTGCACCACTTAGCAGTTAGCCATCTGCTCCCTTCAGATATTATTTTATGGCTTTCCTTTGTTTTCACCAAGGTCTAAATAGGAATGAAATTGTGAGTCTTGTCGCTGGCCCTTTTCAACAAATAGCTCTGCCATCACTCTAATAAGTTTGACAAGTTGGTCCCAGGCCCTGGGCAGGAAGCTAATAAACTTTAAGTTGCTTTTCTATTGTTTTCCTAAAACAATTTGACTTCCTTTCTGATAGCCTCAAATTCCTTCATTAAAAATAGAGTAGCTGGGAGCCAGAGGAAGAGCTGAACTTGAGCCAAGTTGTGCTTACAATGCCGCCTGCGTAAGATCACATTTTTATCCTGATCCATGAAGACTCTTTAAAAGAACGACAGGCAGACAGCTGCCAGTGCATGTCAGGAACAGCTCGGGAGCCAGTCTCCTCCAGCATTGGTCCTTCAGGCTGGAGGGAATATCCGGCCAGTGAGCCCGTGTCAGAACACAGCGGGAGGCTGAGTTCCAGGGAGTGGACTGGGGTGTGCTCACCTGCCCCAAGTGTCCTCCGTCAGACACGGATCTCTTCTGGGAGCCAAACGGGGACAGAGAAGTGGGCTCCAGTGAGATAGAGGGGCTGTACTGAAGCAAACACTTCAGTCAGCCACCTGCTCCTCCCTCCACCTGTGCAGGCTCTGCAAAAAGAGGTAACTCTCTGTTCTTTCTTTTCTTCTCACTTTGTGAAACATATTTATGTACATATGCATGTATACTATACTTGTGTGAAGCAGCAGTTCATCTAGGTGGAAATTTACAGGACAACGTGAATGTCTGGTGGCTGGGTAGGTGAGGATTTCTTGCTTGTTCATCCCTTGGACAAATCTTTTAGGATCCCCATGGTTTGGTTCCTCCACCTGTAGAGCAAGGAGAGTGTTTATTATTGCGTTATTATTTGCAAAGCACTTCTCAACTACTGAGATATGCTGCAGAGTTAGGAGGTGGAAGCACTGTTTGATTTCCAGTAACACAAAGAGGACAACTAAGCATTTACTTTGGGAAAGATGGTCATTTCTTCTTAGGGAGATGAGGTCCTCTTCCAGTTTTTCCTGCTGAAAACGTCATTGGCAGGTGATGCTGGCACACAGTGACATTTCACACCTTGTTGTTTCTTGTTTCCTCTTTTCTCATTCTGGTACTCTGAGCTGTGTGGTGGTTTCATGCTGATAGGCAGCTCGACTCCACCAAACTCCTCTCTCCTTCCGCTTCCTCAAAAGATAAAGGGAAGAAAATACAATGAAAAAGAGCTCACGAGTTGAAATAAGGACAGGGAGACTGCTCGCTAGTTGCCATAATGAGCAAAACAGACTGGCGTAGGGAGATTAATATGATCTATTGCTTATTAATATTAAACTAGAGTAGTAAGAAGATAATAGCAAACTATAATCACACTTTGACCCCATTCACGCTTGTCTATTTCCTCTTTGTGAGCAGTATAGGGGAATAGGGGCTGCAGTCACTTCGTAGTCCTTCATGTCTGCTGTTCCTTCATGGTCACCACTTACACTTCCCCAGACCTCCTGGCTCCACCAGGACCTCCCCTGCTGCAGGGAGCTGCTGCTGTGCACCTGGAGTATCTTCTGCCCTCCTCCTGCACTGACCTCGCTACCTGCAGGGCTGTTCCTCTCATATCTCTCACCCCTCTCTCCCAGCTGCTGTTGCACAGCAGATTTTCCCTTCCTTAACTCCTGTCTCCCAGAGCACACCCAGCATCGCTCAATGGCTCAGCTCTGGCAGCAGCCTGTCTCTGTTGGAGCAGCTGGAGCTGCTTTGCTCTGACGTGGGGCAGCACTGTGCTCTGCTCACAGGGGCCACCTCTGCAGCCTCTTCACTACAAAAAGCTTGCCGCATGAACCCAATACAGGCTGGAAAGAAATCGAGGGGAAAACGTCCATATATAATGACATATATAAGGGAGGAATAGCGACTATAAAACCATCCCCTGTCATTTGGAGACCTATCATTACATGCTGCTCCTGCTCCCTTAGGCCAGGCCCGTCTTTGGGAATTTGCCTTTTGCTGGAAGATGCTTTCAAGCTGTCTCCGGAGGTCTAATCGATAACTGAGAACTTCTTTCTCTCTCCTTCTCTTTCAATCATACCCACGCCAGGGGATTTTGGATAAAAAGCTTCACCAGGAAGGTAGCATCCACAGGCACTTGAGAGAGGGTACTTAGCTGTGTCCGTCCAGCATGTGACAATATAAAGAAACAGAGTAACTGCAATGCTGGCCAGGCATGGGAGATAACATAACTACAAGAATTTTCTCTCGCAACCATTGGTGGTGACAGAGAGGTGTCCGAAATTTCCCAGGGCAGTGAATCTGATATTTCCCCAGGCACAAAGCGCTCTGTAACAGCAGGACAGAACAAGATATTTTACTTTCAGGCAATCTCTTGAAGTTCTCAAATCTCAGGAGAATGTTTACCCACATTTGAAACAGCTTTTCAGCAAAGCCAGATGCTGCAAAAGCATCTGCTTTATGTGAAAAAGCTCTTTCCTATCTGAGCTCTCATGTATATTACTGCATGTTTGCAGACCTTCTCCATGCATTGTGTCGGCTTGCTCTCGTTGTTTGTTTAAATCCCTGACACAGAATGAATACTCCATTAAATAGCCATGGGATCAATGCTGAAAAACTCATCACGCTGAAACGCTGTGCAGGATTTACCTGGCTTCTGCATGAAAAGGAGCAGCTCTGATAAGGCAATAAGGGAAGTGTGGGAAATAGAATGAAAAAGGGACCTCTTGGCTTATCAGCTTCAATCCCTTTGAGTAACAGGCAAGTACAAAACAAATGGCCTTTTCTAAACTTACTAAGCTCTATCCTAAATCTCATTAGGTTTCCGCCCTCACTTCTGTTACTAGAATGCTGTTCCAGCACCTCCTTCTCTGCCCTGTTGCTTAGAAACCTTCTGATTTCCAACCTAAATTCATTCATGGCCAATTTATATCTATTTATTCTTATGCCACATTGTCCTTTAGTGTATGTAGCTCTTCTCTCTCCCTAGCACTTACTCGCCCAACCCCCATCTCTGAGAAATATTTATAGGCAGCAAATCTCTCCTCTCTTAACGTTTGTTCTGCCAGACTATGTAACCAAGCTCCCTTGTAGTATTCGCCCTGCAGGCACGTCATGCTGTGTTTTAATTACTTCAGGTAGTTGCAGTAGCATGAAGTTCAGTGCGAAATAATGAATGTAGGAAAGCTTGTACTTTTCTCTCATCTATTTTCAAATCAGCTCAAATATCTGTTTGCAGTCACTTCTGTGACTGATTAAGTAAACACACTGTTGGCTGAGAGACACTTTTCCGTTCCTCTGATCACCCTGATGCCTTTCTTTGCACCTGTTCCAAGCGGAACGTCTTTCTTGAACATGGGCAAGCACTGCACACACTGCTCTGGTGGGGGTCTCACATCCTCTGGGATGACATTAATCTTAATTGCTGCAAGTGGAAATACTGCTGTGTCCTGGGAGCTCACCTGCCATTTTCACCTGCACATCCCGTCACTGGTTCTTCCCCTGGTGACCTTCACCCAGGACTTTCCCCTTCTCTGTCATGCCAGCTAGGAACTTCCAAATGCTAATTTTCCTTACTCTCTCAGCAGCAAGGTCCTGGAGCGTGTGTAATTTTGTATTTTCCAATTTAAACCTCACCTCAGTCACTCCATTCATAAAGAGCCCTCAGATCTCCTGGTGCTGGAATCCATCTTTGCCCCAACAATACCTCCCAGCTTTCCTACGTCAGCAGATTTCAGTAGCATTTCTACTTTTGGTGCCAAGGTAATTAACACAAACATTTAGAAAGATCAGTCCTAAGTACAATTTTTGATCAGTCTCACAGATAACTCCCCTTCAGCCTGTTAGGGAAATGGTGTTTCAATCCCATCAGTCTATTGCTCACTTGAGGATTTCCCTAATAATCCCTGCCTTCTTCAGCTGAATCTTTTGCATTAATTTGTTTTTTCTGGCACAGCATATCTTGTGCCTCACTGAAGACTAGGTAGATACAGTCTGTTATGTTCCTTTTATCAAGAAGATCAGAAATCTTACCCCCAAAAAGCCAGTTACCTTTGATCAAAAGATGGCACATGTTCTATTTTTCCCTTACCTCCTATATTTTCCTTTCCTGCAAAATGTGTTCTACAGCACTACAAATTGCTGAGATTTGCAAGCTGCACAGGACAACTATCAGCTGTTCATCTAATTCCCACTATCTAGGGGAATATTCTCTCCCACTTGATCTCCTCATTCAAGCCATAAAAGTTTTGGATTGCAGTTGCTTGGGGAAGGGAGGAAAATCCTTCTTCCCAGCTCACCAGTGGAGCTGGAGAAGCTGCCTCTGTTTTCCTCAAAAGAGGTGGCAATAGAAGAGGAAGGGCACACTGAGAGTCTGGCAGAGGTATCCATACAACACCTCCATTCTCCTGTCTTTTGCATCCTACATGGCCTTCACCCATTTCCCTTCTGTGCATCCAAATTCAAACAGATCCCACCATCACAAAAAGAAGGAAAGGAAAGGAAAGGAAAGGAAAGGAAAGGAAAGGAAAAAGAAGAGCTCGTAACAGTCACATCACGTGCACAATGTGTGTATTTGACAGAAACCTTCTCCTTGTATTCATCAATAGAACTACAGCATAATTGTTTGATTGTAGGGGAAACAGCATGCCACACTGAAACAATGCTCAGGTAAGAAATACAAAGGAATGATAAAGAAAAATCAGATCTGACTCTCCTGAGTTCACAACAAAGTGTGAAGGGAGCATATGTTGCATTTCAGACAGCTTGCTCACAGGAAATGCATGTGAGAAATACCTGACAAGCCCAAAGCCATCTACAAGGAGAGCTGTATTACTAATACCTGTTTTGGACATCTCTATGATGACATGTTTGACAACTCCACTGGCATAAAATCAATGGGATAATCACAGGCATAATACTGTTATGCAGGAGAGAGAAAATGAACTCCAGAAATATTCTTGTTTTCTTTGAAGTCATAGGAGACCCTTCAATAAAGTTAGAAATGCAGTGGCAAATGGTTATTGGTTTCTCGATATCAGTTTACTGAACTGTTATGGAAACGTACTGCACGTCCTGCAATAGTCATCAGTGAGGTTATAGCAGGAGGGAGATTTACCCTCCTGAAAAGGAGGTGCATTTCTAGCTTCAGGATGAGAGTGCCCACATAGGGCATGAATCCAGAGTAGCTTCTGCACAGCTCTATCCCTATGTAGCCTGGCCTCCAATCTTCTGAATTAAGGGGTACTAAAATAGCAGGAGAATAGGGATTAGATTAGAAGAGTTGTCAGTCCTGTGGCTTACTCTCAGAGCTACCTTTGTTTCATGATCTACACTAGCTGCTGTACAGAGACAGCTGGGGAGTTATATTCTGGATGGGAGATACCTAACACAGGAAGGGCTGCTAGAGGAACACCAGCCAAAGCCTATGCGTAGCAAAAGCCTTCTCAGCTTTGTGTCTCCTGACACTGATTCTTTCAGATCAGCCTTTATCAAAGCCAGAAGGTATTTCTAATTCAGCCTCATCTCTTGGCCCAATGTACAGGATTCAGAAGCTCAATTTGACATGTACATAAAATGTAAGATCTCAGTGTGCCAAAAGTATTTCTAAGAAAAGCCCAAATGCTCACGCGTCAGAGTGTGTGTGTGCATGTATAGGAATGTGGAAGGTTGTCAAAAACCACTGCACCTGATGGGCAGATTGTTCTATATGTATCTTTAAGGTCACCTGCTTCCTTCCTGGGAGGCACTAAGTGCCCTGTGGTTCAAGGCAGCAGCTATGCTCCAGCTCCTTACTTGGAGAGGTGCAGGACCCCACTCCTCATAAATTCTGCTTTGCTTAATCCTGAACAAGTCAAAAAAAAAAAAAATCCTTCATTGACATCCTGTGCAGAAGAGCCTTCTCAGGTTCTAGCTGGGGTGGCTGTGGGGCAATCCCATCTCTTTTCATTTAAGGAAGACTTAGACCATGGCGTGTTATCTGGGGGAGGAGGTGTAAAGAGCAGTGGCAGCAGCAACTGGAAGGGACAGGGAGAAGGCAGCAGTGAGTGCATCCAGTCAGTATGGGGAGGGTGGCACAGGGAGAGGCTGAGAATGGAGAGGGAGGATTAAAACCCATGGTCTTTAAAGGAAAAACAACAGGAAACTAGGTTTGAAAATAGAAAGATTAAGTTGGAGGTTGTGGGAGAGACAAGAAAAGTAGGTGAAGAAAGAAGGGGAAAGGCAGAGAGGCGGTGGGGAAGACAGAAAGTGACATGGAAAGGGGGTGGAGAAAAAAGAGGGGAAGAGAGAGAGAGAACCATACCAAAGGAATAAAACCAAGTGACTGAGAAGAACGAAGGATTCAACTCAATTACAGGAAGGAAAAGTGCTAAAGCAAGGAAAGGAGGCAGAAGAAAAGACGCTGGAAATCAGGTAAGTAACCATGAGGGGTAAATAACTGAAGAAGCA